TCAGCCCATGTCATGGACAGATGAAAGTGCGCCAGTTTACTGGCTGCGGTGGACATGAAATGACCCTCAGGGGAGGAGAAAGTTATTGAATAGTTCAACATCTAGTCCCAAGCGCATAAAGACCTCGTTTATCTGCGCTATATAAATCCATCTATTATTATTATTATTATTAAAGGTGGGTTTTTTTTGTAAACCCACTTTTATATATATTTCGTTCTACTGCAGTATTTTCTTGCTATATTTAATCACAGTAATTAAGTTTATACTGATTTTGTTATTGTTGCACATCTTTTACGGATGTGCCTCTGTTAAAAAAGAGAAGCATTAAAGTTACTTACTAGCATTTGCAAGGCAGTCAGTTTTTTTATGTAATACATTATGTGCATAATAGCACTCTGAGAGATAATTATAGGGTGCTATATTAAAAACCTATATATTATTATTAATACTATTTAGAATTTACAGATATTTTCTATGCACAATTACATTCAATTTCAACTTATTTTATGGTTTAAAAAAATGCAGTTTCTCTGCATGACTGATCAAGTTGTCATGCTTGGTTGCACACAAAGTAATATAACATCCGGTCACATCAACTCTGGAAAATCCCATATCTGTTGGGAGTTCAGCACTGATAGATTTCAGACAACTCTTACAGGTTAGATTAATTTAAACAATATTATTAAGCCTAGAGTAAATAATGATACAGTAGTTAGCTTATGTATTGATTCAGAAACATCTCTATAAAAACTGTTGTAGCCCTATGCAACAGAATTAGAAAATAATCCAAATATCTAGCACTACCAATTTAAGAGGCAAACTGGATATCTACAAAATCTACTGTAGTTAAAAGAAATTCTTGAACAATTATCAACATTTTAGATTTATTAACAGTCATATAGTTGTTTATGGTATAAAATATAATTAACAACTATTGTTGTTGAATAAATTCATCTGGTTCCAAGTTTAATTTTATTAGAATTATTACTTTTATGTTGAACCAAAAAACGTACAATAGATTAAGTGTAACCTTTCATTGGCAGACTGCCAACTTCTTCAGACTGAAGCCTGTGCTATAGTGGTCTGGTTTGGTCCAGGTTGCACTGGAATGCGCCACCAACTGCCCTTGATGTTTTGACGGTGGTAGGTCTCCAGGGGCCCCAAATTTACTACCGAGATCATGACAGAAAATCGCATTCCTTTTTTGGATATACTCATTACCATATTAAGACAGATCACTTGCCACTAGCGTGTATAGGAAGCCAACACACACGGATCAATATCTTGATTTTCGTTCACACCACCCTCTTGAACACAAATTAAGCGTGATAAACACCCTGGTAGACAGAGCAGAAACTGTCACCAGTGATGAAAAGGACAAAGTTCAAGAATTAAAGCATATAAAGAAAGTACTAAAAGTATGCAATTACCCCAAGTGGTCCATAGATAGAGTTACCAATAAAAGAAAAATAGCCAAAAATAATAAATCTGAACATGCCAAAACAACAGACAGAGAAAAGATGAGAGGCCATATAGGTATCCCCTATTGTCATGCAACTTCGGAAAAAATATGCCGCATTTTCTCGCAGCACAAAATCAATACTTTCTTTGTCTCCACTAACAAATTGAAAAACAACCTAGTTCACCCAAAGGACAAGATCAAGGGTAAAAACACAGGCTTCATTATCATCCCAAATCTGCCATCACTGATCATGCAGTAGAGAATAATCATGTTCCGAATTGGAATGCCATAGTCATTGCAAAAGAATCCAACATAGATACTGATAGAAGAAAAATAAAAGAGTCAATTTGCATCAGAAAAAGGAACCACAACATAAACAGAGACATCGGAGGATACGATTTGCCGCACATATACGATGGGTTGCTGGAAAAAGTAAAAGCAGGGAGGGGGGCCTCCGGAGACCTACCGCCGTTAAAACATCAAGGGCGGTTGGTGGCGCAATCCAGTGCAACCTGGACCAAACCAGACCACTAAGCACAGGCTTCAGTCTGAAGAAGTTGGCAGTCTGCCAATGAAATCTATAGTACGTTTTTTGGTTCAACATAAAAGTAATAATTCTAATAAAACTATTGTTGATTTCCAAAAACCAAAAGGTCCACTGATTAATCTCAGATAAGAATGTATAATACATACTCCAAGTATTGAAATACACGCCATCGTGTTGGGATTCAATATTTCGACATTAATTATGTCATCACGATGACATAATTAATGTCAAAATATTGAATCCCAACACGATGGCGTGTATTTCAATACTTGGAGTATGTATTATACTTTCTTATTGTTGATTTATTGCATAATGTTTTAAGGGTTGTCCATCTAGCTGGGTGTTGGTTAATTGGGACCCTAAATCATCCAAGTTTTTATAGTGTACGGACCCATAGTGTCATTTCGCGAGTAGGCTGCCCAAAGCAATTTTACTGCATTTTCTGGATATTTTGGGTATGCTAAATCCAAAAATGTAAGGGTCCATTTTTCCAAGATTGCCTTGGTGGCCATTTTGGAATTTCAAAATGGCCACCATTTTCACATTAAAAATAACAATAACTGTGTTATTAGAGCAGATATCAACATGATTTTGGCAGAAAACCCTATATTTTCAATGTCAACCTGTCCAATAGTGATATTCTCACAGATTATAAACGGTTGCCATCTTGAATTTCAAAATGGCAGCCGTTTTTACAGTAAAAATAACACTGTTGTGCTATTAGAGCAGGTATCAACTTATTTTGGCAGAAAACCCTATATTTTCAATGTCAACCTGTCAAATATTATTCTCACAGATGGTGGCCATCTTGAATTTCAAAATGGTGGCCGTTTTTACAGTAAAAATAACACTGTTGTGCTATTAGAGCAGGTATCAACTTATTTTGGCAGCAAACTCTATATTTTCAATGTCAAAACCTGCCCAATGGTGAGATTCTCACGAATCATACATGGCGGCCATAATGAATTTCAAAATGGCTGCCATTTCACAGTAATAAAAACCATAATTGTGCTATTAGAGCAGGTATCGACGTGATTTTGATAGCAAACCTTATGTTTTCAATGTCAACCTGTTCAATGATATTCTTACAGTAATGGTTGCCATCTTGAATATCAAAATGGCCGACAAATTTCAAGCCAAAACTCATACATGCCAACACTCCCTCTTTGGCCGGGAGGCTCCTGTTTTGGTATCCTGACCACAGGCCAATTTTTCTCACGTTTTCTCGCGCTTTCCCAGTTTACAAAAAGAAAAAAATTTGCAATAAAAGATTAATTGTAGTCTTTTTTGCAATAACATACTACAAAAAAAACCCCTCAATATTTAAGTTATAGATTTCAACAGCATCGCCTCTCTGTGAATGGTGCGTGAAACAAGACAAGACGATAGGGCCTCTTAAAGCGAGGTAATGCTCAGTCTGAAATCGTTTTAAAATGGAGGTCAATAATATTAATAATTACGACTAGAATACAGTACTTGTGTAAAGCAGGAATAGTGACGAAGTGGACCAGACCTTATGTTGAATAATTAGACATGCAGTTGCAGTTGCTAAAATAACAGCCCAGTAATTATTGAAAATAAAACACACTTTTATGACATGTATTGAGTCCAGATTTTATATCTTGTACTGAAAAAAGGGCCAGAAAATGAGAAATTAATCTATAAACATAGCCTACACAA